GTTCTAGCAATAGCAATAAGACAACATAAGGAGATCAAGGGGATTCGAATTGGAAAGGATGAAGTTAAACTTTCGTTATTTGCTGACGATATGATAGTGTACATAAGTGACCCCAAAAACTCTACCAAAGAACTCCTACAGCTGATAAACACCTTTAGTAACGTGGCAGGATACAAGATCAACTCCAAAAAATCAGTGGCCCTCCTATACACAAAGGATAAAGAAGCAGAGAGGGAAATCAGAGAAACATCACCTTTCACGATAGCCACAAATAGCATAAAATATCTTGGGGTTACTCTAACCAAAGAAGTGAAAGACCTATTTGACAAGAACTTTAAGTCTTTGAAGAAAGAAATTGAGGAGGATACCAGAAAATGGAAAGACCTCCCCTGTTCTTGGATTAGGAGAATCAACATAGTTAAAATGGCAATTCTACCAAAAGCAATCTATAGATTCAATGCAATTCCCATCAAAATCCCATCAAATTTCTTCACAGACCTTGAGAGAACAATAATCAAGTTTATATGGCAAAACAAAAAGCCCAGGATAGCCATAACAATCTTATACAATAAAGGAACCTCAGGAGGCATTACCATCCCTGACTTCAAACTCTATTACAGAGCTACAGTATTGAAAACAGCTTGGTATTGGTATAAGAACAGAGAAATCGACCTTTGGAATCGAATAGAAGACCCGGATATTAACCCACAAACCTATGAGCACCTAATTTTTGACAAGGGAGCTAAAGGTATAAAATGGAAGAATGAAAGCATTTTTAACAAATGGTGCTGGCATAACTGGATGTCAACCTGTAGAAGGATGAAAGGAGATCCATATCTATCACCATGCACAAAAATCAGGTCCAAATGGATTAAAGACCTCAACATTAATCCATCCACTTTGAACCTGATAGAAGAGAAAGTGGAAAGTAATCTACAAGATATAGGCACAGGAGGCCTCTTCCTAAGTAGGACCCCATTAGCACAGACAATAAGAGAAACAATGAATAAATGGGATCTACTGAAACTGAGAAGCTTCTGTAAAGCAAAGGACACTGTCAGTAAGACAAAAAGGCTGCCTTCTGACTGGGAGAAGATCTTCACCAACCCCTCATCAGACAAAGGTCTGATCTCCAAAATATACAAAGAACTCAAGAAACTAGACACTAAAACTCTAATTAACACAATTAAAAAATGGGGTACTGAACTGAACAGAGAATTCACAATAGATGAACTTCGAATGGCCAGAAGACACTTGAGGTCGTGCTCAACCTCTTTAGTGATCAGGAAAATGCAAATCAAAACCACTTTGAGATATCATCTTTCACCTGTCAGAATAGCTAAAGTCAAAAACACCAATGATAGCCTATGTTGGAGAGGATGTGGAGAGAGAGGAACTCTCATCCATTGTTGGTGGGAATGCAAACTTGTGCAGCCACTGTGGAAATCAGTGTGGTGGTTTCTCAGGAAACTGGGAGTCAACCTCCCTCAGGACCCAGCAATTCCACTCTTGGGAATATACCCTAGAGATTCCCTAACATACTACAAAAGCATTTGTTCAACTATGTTCATAACTGCACTATTTATAATAGCCAGAACCTGGAAACAGCCTAGGTGCCCCTCAATAGAAGAATGGTTAAAAAAGGTGTGGAACATATACACATTAGAGTTTTACTCAGCGGTAAAAAACAATGACATCTTGAATTTTGCATGCAAATGGATGGAAATAGAAAACGCTTTACTGAGTGAGGTAAGCCAGACTCAAAAAGAGGAACACGGTATATATTCACTCATAAGTGGATTCTAACCATAATTAAAGGTCTTTGAGCCTATTATTCGTGATCCTAGAGAAGCTAAATAAGAAGATGAACCTGATGAAGATTATTTAGCTATCCGCCAGGAGGCAGGAAATAGTCAAGAGTCCCAGGTAACCTCGGGTGCATGGGGGGGTGGGAGGGTTGTTGGAAGGGGAGAGGGTTAGAGAGAAGGGAGTAGGGGAGGAATGGGGAAAGCTCGG